CAGTCGTCAATCCAATCCATGGCCGGTTGCCCACAAGCAATTCTATGCCTAGGAAAGGAGCTCACCTGGGTCTTCCAGGATCACAGCTCCGCTACCACTGAAAGAGTGACTAGGGCGTACACGGTTGAGGTGCAGACCGCTAGTGTCTTTTATGCGCAGAGTCTTATCCTCTTAGCGTCTCTTGAGCCTTATGGCAGTCAAGCATGGACACACTAGATAGGCCACTGGAGTGGAACCTGTACAAGTATGCCTCTACATTTCAGGGGGGGGGGTCTTCGACCTGAAAGATCAGGGGTTAGGATTTGCACCCGGTCGAAAGAAACCTTGCTATCGCAAGAGTAACTCCAGCTAGCTTCGCTAGCTTTCGTGACTTCGAGCGCTTCGCATGGTAGCGGAGCTGGTTCTCCCCAGGGCCAGCTTCGCGCGCGTGTAATAACGCGTTCTTCGCGGCGGGTGACACCGCTTGTGACCACGTCTGGGACAACTTCTTCAAAATCTTCTAGGACGAGATCAGCACGAGCAGTTGAAAATCGTTTGTTGAGAGGAATTGCCAGACGGTGGGAGAGAGAGACTTGCAAAAACAGAAGCGAGAAGAAAAAAAACAAGAGGCGGAACAAGAAATTCCTGCATTTGGTCAGTCCGCAGCTGCTTGTGATAGTGAACGCTCAGCAAGCCACACTACTAGCAGTGAACCGGTGGATTACAGTGTTTTCTTTGCACCTGCTGTACGTTTGTCTCGCCCTTTGGAAGGTGAAATCGGTGGAGTATATCGCCGTGTGTGGAACAACCTTCAGCGGGAGATACCGCACGTTGCTGGGGAAGTAGCCCGCGCACCAGGTCAGTCAGCGAGAAAGAGTTACTTGTGTGCAGAAGCCAGGCGAGCAGTAACGGAATCCTGGAGTGCCCGCGAAGGCCCAGTCCGAGCTGAAAGTGGTCAAGCGAAAGTAGTACCAAAAGTGGACGTTGAGGGGTTTGAGCCGAAGAACCAGAACAGAGTAAAAGAAGAGTTAGACGAGAACACGCGAAGGCAGAGATCAACTGAGCCCAAGCGGCGTCGAGTGAGCGCTGGGGAAATCCCCTCTTTTGCGGGTGATACCGCCTAATTGCCGACTTTTAGGTAGTTTGCCCGTAGACTCCGTTCGCACAGTGTCTTGTAGGTTTTTGCTGAGCCCAATTGGGGTTTACAAGTCAGAACTGCTGCAAGTCACCTGTGTGGTTGTTTTCGTCCTTTTGTTCTTCCTTTCGAAGGAGTGGAAGAAGTGGTGCGAGAATTGAGAACCCAGATCGAACAGTTGAGATCACAACAAACAACGCTGAATGCTGCCTTGCAAAGAGCACAAACGGCGTTTGAACAGCAAAGTGTAGCCTTGACAGAGACACGCAATGAGTTGGGCAGGGTAAGAGCCGAAGCAACTGCGAGTTCACAAGCCGCAACAAGCATAGGAGATTCACGTTTGGTAGACCCCAGAAACATCCCCAAACCACCGTTGTTTGATGATAAACGTGAAAGTTGGGAGCGGTGGAAGTACATTTTCCTTGCGTGGGCTTCCACTGTGAATACTGCGTATTCCGCACTGTTGGAAAAAGCAGGGCAATCAGCAACACCGATAGAGCACGACGAACTGTCCGACAGTGAAGTGCGATTGAGCCGAGCCTTGTTGACCATTTTGATGGGTTATGCGCCTGATTGTGTCATGGGAATGGCGCAGCATGCCCCTGAAGGAAATGGAAGGAAATGTGGCGTAGGTTGGTGAAAACAAATGAACCCGCTCACAAGTCGAAAGCTTGGGTGTGGCGTAAGCACTTGACAAACCTAAATTTCCCAACAGACCTTGCAAAATGGAGTGAAGCGTTTTATCAGTGGGAATCTGAAATTCGCGAATTCGAACGGCAATTCAAAAAGAACATTGACGAAGATGAAAAGTTGTCGGTTCTTGTTCACGTTGCACCAAAAGAGCTTCAACAGTCCATTTTCATGCACGCTGACTCACTTGATTCCTACATGAAAGTCCGCACGTACATAGAGCAGTACCTGAGCGCGCGCAACTTGTGGCGCAGGCCTCAAGGACGGCACAAAGCGGACTCAGGAGTGGCCCCCATGGACATAGGCGCAATCAATGACAAAGGCAAAGGAGACAAAGGCAAGAAAGGCAAAACGAAAACCGAAAAAGGGGATCCAGGAAAAGTGTTTTGGAACCAACAATCGTGGACACCGACTTGGAAAGGTTCAAGCCAGCAACAAGGCAACCCCAAGGGAGGGAGTAGCAACAAAGGTGAGAAAGGCAAACAGGCAGGTAAAGGAGAGGATTGGAAAGGCAAAAGGAGACAAAGGCAAAGGAAGGAGCACCAACCCGCACGCAGGAAAACAATGTCACATTTGCAAGAAATGGACACACAGCTGCAGAATGCCATTGGAAGGTCTCCGAGGTCCGTGAGGAACTAGAATCAAGCCCGAGCACCGACAACAAGGTTTCGATAGGTGCCGTCCGCGAGCGCAGTAGCGACATGCATACACATGTGCATCACACAGATGAACAACATGATCATGACAGTGCGAGATTCCATTTCAGCTGTGCGTCCCTACCAAAGCGATGAGTTTGTTTGGTTCATGGTTGATTCTGGTGCTTGTGTGACATGTGCCACTGTTGGTGAATTTGATGTACCAGTTGACACCACGAAAACTAGGCAGTTGTACTCAGTGCAAGGCGCAGAGTTGAAAGTGTATGGGGAACAAACACCGGCTGTTGAGTTGAGTGACGGTTTGCGTGGCACAATGCGCCTGGCAGTGACTGATGCAAGTGAAAATGTTCTGGCAGTCGCTGTTGGAATGTTGATTGGTCGAGGCTGGCTAACATAGTCTCGCATGAAGAGGCCACACAACTCCAAACAACAAACTCATCAGAGCCTTCTGTCTTGCTACAAAGACACCCTTCACCCACCGAAGGCTCCCCTTGCCCAAGTCTTTTGTGTTTGGCCATTTTGCTTGAACACACTCCCCAAAAGGCAACATGCGCAAGCGTCAATGATACTATCTGTTGTTATGGAAGTGCCAACATCTACGTCAGGTGGCGGAGATTCTCTCCTAGTAGTTGCAGGCGTTGCAGCCGTTGTTGGGTGCAACGAGCCTTCATGCCAGTGCAGGGTCATGGGTGCCAAAGGCTGCTCTTTCGCACTCACTGCATAGCAACACAGCGAGGTGCCTGCGGAGCTATGGCAATGTGTGAGGACATGATTCCTGCCGGTCCACAGAGATTTGCGGGCATGCTGATCGGGTGCTAAAAACGCCTGGGCGGTGTGGGCCTGAGGGTGCGAACAAGCTGAACAAGCTTCCAGGCGCTGCGAAGTGTCGCCAGCCGTGGCACCAAGTGCCTTGCACTTTGCGGCGTCAACACTATTATATATTTCGCTGCCAAAGCTGCAGGTCCTAGCATCAGGCACTGCAAGCAGCCCGGCCACACAGTTAGGCAGTGGGCGCTGAGGCGAACCGCGGAGCTCAAATCAAGGCCGATGGAAGCTGGCAGGAATGCAAGCGGGCACGCTGGACTGAAACCTTCCACCAAATTCCAAAGTGAGCTGGCTGGCGACCAGGGCTGTTGAACTGCGTGGAGGAGATGGTGGAATGCAACCTGCAGAACAGGATGGGAGGCACCCTGGAAACACATGCAAAGGGACCTTGCCCGCAAGCGACTCACACGTTGCCGAAATTCATAAACAAGAAAAATGCAAATACATACGCGTACACACAAATACACATATGTACAGTACAAAAGTCAAATGTGACCAGAATGAAAGTCTCACTGGTAGAACTCGACAGCCAAACACGAGTGCGGAAAAGCAAAAAGAAACAATGTTAAAGGAATAAATATTTGTATATATAGAAAAGGCATGAAAAGGCGAATCGTCTCAGCCTCAGTGAAACACCCCAAGAGCTGAGAAAATGGAAAGTAATGGAAAGTAGCAATGGAGAGGAAAATGGGTTGAACAAGAAGCTGTTTAGAAGGTGTGTAATTTTTGAACTTATTAGAGGGGTACTTACCTTCCTTGTTTCCCTGTCTTTTATCGATGAGGGGAGTGCAATGGAGTGCTGTAGTAGCTAGGCAGTGCAGCACTGGGAATGTTTTTTTGATGCAATTAGCCGGTAAGCTGGCAGAGCGCTTCGTCAACACCGACTCATGACCGACTCGTGGACCTGAGCCAGCTTGACGGTAATGCGTTACTGATGTGTAATGTGTATGTGTATACGGTATGTATATATAGTTATATAGTTATATAAAATGTTATAAATATGCATGCAACTTGTTCTACATGTGTATACAAGCTGGCATTACAATTTGTTCTGAAACTTAAAAAACACAAAACATATCACGAAGATCCATTCCACAGAATGTTGTCATGAAGTCTTGAAAAAAATAAACAAACAAAATATAATCTTGCTCGGTGTGGTAGGATTGAGACTCTCGAACATCTCGAACTCTGGCACGTCGGCACAAAGTTCGTGGGGCAGGGCAATTCAGGGTCACGCGATCGCCAGAGACGGGCCGAATGGCCTCTCAGCGGGAATGAGTGGGACAAGCGGACCGCATCACACTGTTTCATTCAGAACACGGCGTGTTGCGTCGTGGTTGTCGTTGGTTCGCGACGCACGAAGGTTGTGATGGTCGACTGCTTGTCGGTCTCCCGTGAGTTTGAGTGCGCAACCATCGAACCAAAGATTTGCAAGGCTGGCAAAGCAGATTGCAGATTCTAGAATACATCGTTGGTTCATTGGCAGCTAGTTGCTTGTCTCTCTTACTTGCCGCTTGTTGCTGAAGGACAATCCGCTCAAGCTGCCAAGTGGTAGCAACCTTTCCTGACTGTCGGAGGTTACATCCAAGCTGCAGCAAATCAATCTGCTGTGTTTGTTGACCAAATCAGATCCCGAATTCGTCCATCATTAATGCTCCAACACAGGTCCGGTCTGTTTAGCATTGCAGCACACGCAAGCCAACGCTCATCATCTTTTGATCTCGACCAGCAGCGAGCTCTCTGGTCACCACTGACGACGATCTTACCTTGGTAGCCAGCAACAAAAAAAGTATCCGAACAAAAGTGTGTGTGCCATGGAGTCACAGGGATCCTGATGGATTTGTTTTGTTTTTTCAGCAGGGGGCCACCGGGGTCCCACAGGAGCGGTGGCCAACGAAGACCTCCTTTGGGACCCGTGTAAACGTACCTGCCAAATTTGTTACCTGTTGTTCTCGCTGTGGTTTGCTTTCATGGTGGTTCATGTATGTGTTTCTGTTACTAACCGCAAAAGGGTTAGTGCATTCTGCAACTTTGCTGTGTTTGTGTCTTGAGTTTTGAATTTGTGTCTTGTGAACTAGTGGCGCTGGCCTCAAACCTGGTGCGATGGCCTCCAACGCACTAGCGATGACCTCCAACCTTGTTGCTTGGGCTTGTGTCTTGTAAACTTGTAGCGCAGGCCTCCAACCCGGTGCTATGGCCTCCAACTTATCAGCGATGACCTCCAACCTCGTTGCGTGGTGTCGCTTTGGCCTCCAAGCTTGGGCGATGGCCTCCAACTTCCTAGCGATGGCCTCTAGCTTACTTTTATCGTTCTGCCGGTTTACTCAGGCCAAATCTGTTACCTAGGTCACCGTGTGGCAAACCGCAACTGCATCAGCACGCATTTCTACAAATGCGTCTCTCCTCATGAGAGCCCAGGGCGACCCCGACGAGTGGCCCCTGTGGACCCGTTGAACGGGGGTTTGTCGACCGTATCCCCTTCCCGGATACAGAGCAGCTCGCAGCGAGCGTAGGTGACTTATGCCAAAGTTATTTGCCAAGACCTGACGAATGATTGAATTCCAAGCTGGCATGCCTTTGGGCGACCATAGCGGTCAGAGCAGCCAGCCATTTCGTACGTGGCCGCTGCGGCCGAAGTCACTCAAGTCGAGACCTTAACCCCCTTCCCCCTTACCCTCTGTGTTTTGTAGGGTCCTAGGTTCCCCTAGGCGTGTCTACGCTATACGTGTGTAGCACCTGTTGTCCGTAGTTACTTGATAAGTTCTCTTCAGTTAGCTGCCGCTTAATTCATTTGGCTCAAGACTTTGAAGCCCAGTACTGGACTCCGCGCCATAGAGAAAAGTGTGCTCGTCGTCGCTCGCACACTTGCGTCGTGAGAGGGTCTTACTTGAGAGAGGAGGGGGGTGAACGAAAGGTAGCAGGGAATCAGGCGTAATCCGGGAGGAGGTGAGAGGCCCCCCACTTGTTTGAAGAGAAGTGAGTGAGCGTGATGAAAGAAAGACTAGTGCACAAACGCTTGACAAAACCTCCAGAAGCTGTAGCGGTCTAGCTGTTTCAATACAGGTTGACGTGCCTTCAAAAGGAGTCACATATTCGGATTTACATAGTGACGTGCGGCGACCCTGTAAATTGCGTGGCCGCAGGCCATGCTTGCAAACAGGACGTGCTCAAAAACACTGGTATTTACGAGGTTTCGTTGATCCACAGCCGCGGCAAGGTCTAAGGCCACGCTTGAAGACAGGAGGAGCTGAAAACACTGGTATTTACGGTATTTTGTAGCCGTCGATCCAAAGGCGCACCACGGTTGAGCGCTGGAAAAGCGCAGAAAACCGTGTAAATACCGGCGTTTTCTTCCGGGAAGGTGCACAAAACCCTGTAAATACCATAGTTTTGTGCAATTTTGAAGCCTCCAAAAGCCTCAAAAACCCTTTCTGACAAAATCTTTCCTGGTTTTTGGTCTTTTTTCGGTCATTTTTCTAACCGAAACGCATCAAAAACCATCGGTTTTTGCGGTGTTTTTTGCCGGACAGCCACAAAAAACGCTGTAAATTCCATGATTTTTGGTCACTGCTGAGGACTGGAAGAGCTGAAAACACTGATATTTACAGTGTTTTCGAACGGTTGACCCCGAGGCGCGCTAGGGTGGAGTTGAAAGGGGGGGGGGGGG